TTATTTGCCATACTCAAATATGAAACCAAATTATTAAACTCAGACCTGGCATGGGACATGCACAAGCACTGGTCTGACTGGAAAAAAAGCAAAACAACAACAACCCAGGCCACATTTTTACTTACTTAAAATCCTAGGTAGCAATTAAAAAAAAAAAATACTAGTACAGAAAACATATGGTGACTTATTGTGAGTTTTTACATGTATTTTTAATAATCTGGTTTTGATAGTACTGTACCTGGCTGACTGCTTCACCAGATCTAACACAAGGCATAACTGCATCTCCCTGCTGCACAAAGCCTGATTAGAGTAGATGTCTTTAAAGGTGTGGGAAGACCACTTATCAGGGCATCCCAGCAAGAGTTATGTTCTCTGGTGAAATGGTGGTTCTTGTCTTGTCTGTTGAGAGTGTGTTCTGTGACTGTCAGCTCAGACAAGGCTGAGACTCTGAAGCACATGCCATGTGCTTAGTTTTTGCTGCAATCCTCTGGAGTTCCTTGACCTTTTTTGAATTCAGGCCCTTACAGTGTGAGGCACAAATATAAGCACATGACTTGTTGTACTAGTATGTTCGTCCCTGTTTATAATACATTTAGAAAACACATACTATGGCATCTAGGTCTGTGTAATTAGCATCATACAGCCATAGCTTTTTTCTATTTCACGACAAGTAAGGAAATAAGATTAAAAAAAAAAAGCAGTTTGAGTATTTTATCTTCAGAAATGTTTTAGACATCCGATACATTTAAATACATAGCTGGGGCCTTATGTTATAGACTTGCTGTTTTTAGCAAGCAGTTCTGGGTTTCCTGTTCATTTCTAAACGCATTGAGTAGCTCCATACATTTCATAACATAATCTTTTTATTTGTATGCAAAAAAAAAAAAGTTAAATACTGTAATAACAAAAGAAGCATTTTGTAACAAAGGAACCCGTTGGAGCTATTTGGTGCTAGAATGTTACTTGTCTTTTTACTTTTGCTAAGCCTTATTTAAATTTTGTATACTGTGGAACATGTAGACTTTGATCACTGTAGCGTGCAGGTATTTAGCTTGTTTTGAGAGATGAGAGGTAAAATTTGAAACGTGTACAGAAGCACTACAAAATGCCCTTGCAGATGCATGGGTTTTAATCACTGGGGATCAATAGAATGGTTGTTTCACTTATTTCTGTTTCACGTACCCATAATAGAGCCAGGCCCCTACCTTTTCAACTAAAGCTTATGGTTTGTCTTTCTGTCTCAAAAGCTAGAAGATTGTTCATAAAAGCACAGTGCAGTCTTGACTTGGAGACTTGTGTGACAACAGAGAGTGTGCAGAATTCATTTCCCTCTGCTGAATACTGTATTATACAGAGTTGGGTTACAGCAGACCTGTCAGGAAAAGCCAATACCACAAACAACTCCTCCTGATTTTCCATGTGGCACTAGAACATACATACTGCCTTTGATTCGTTCACAGAGGAGCTGGTAAGCAATGGATAATTTTTGAGAAGTTTTAAAGATAAAATGGTCTCAACATTTACAGTTCATCTGTGCTTTGGCAGTTACCACATATGGATGCTAATGCACTTCAAAATAACATTTCTGTCTGGGAGTTATTTCCTAGTTTACAGTCTCTGCATTTTTTCAGCTCTCCTCTTGTTTCCTTTAAAGCACATCTAGCTTTTGTTTACAGTATGCCTTTATGTATATTTTGTATAGTTCATTATCACTTCTGACAAATAAGTTCTTTGCATTTTGGAAGTGTAACAGTGCATAAGCTTGTGTTTATGTAGTACCTGTTTGTTGGTGTTTACCTTACCAGTGAGCTGTTAGAAATCTTCCTGCCTGTGTTCCTCTTGGTCAGTCTTAATGTGGTTGTAGATCTGACGTGTTCTTTTATAGATTTCCTGCAGTAGATTTCTCAGCTTACAAAGAAAAATAAAAAGGAAAAAAAAAAGAAATTGTTAGGGTTTGTGCAATAAAGTGTTTGCAGTCTTATTTTCTTTAAGAAACTCCTTATGGATGTCATTATTGTTATATATTGAACACGGTTATTTATACTTATGCAGTTGCATAACGTTGAAATAAAAATTCAGCATGAATCACTGCTGTGTTAGCAGATTTTTATTCTTTGGGGCCAGCTCAGTGCACCTTTGAAGGCACATGCTGGCAGGGGGTGGTTTTGCATAAGGAAATGCACTTTGCTCTGAGGACTGAGGAGCTCTGCACAGCTGAGTATCTCTTCTCAGGCTGTCTGGAACCGCTGCTCTGCTGTTGAGCAGGCAGGCATGGTGTGGTGGTGGACAACATATCCACCATCCATATACTGGTGGCTAACAGTGGCAGTAGATTGTAACATGATGTTACATATAACAGTGTAACAATATAGCAATCCCATGCAGTGCTCC